TGTCTGGGTCTTGAGAAGTAGATTTTTTACAATTTTGATTCATCTTGGGCCAGGGAAGGTTTCTGCAAAATTTCATTGAAAACGGATCAGGTTTTTTTTTAGAAGAAGTCGAAAGTGTTAAATTGTTTAACGACGTATGACGCCGGATAAAGGGTATTAGAATAGGTCACCATGAAAGTCTCATGGTGACCTAAACATGTATGTAGTAATACAAATAATATCAACAACAAATATAAACAAAATATTTTGACATTTTTATTATTTTGTAGTTATACATAATAGAGAAAAAACAATAACTTAATATTTCTTACCATACAATGTTATACACGGCGAGTAGGTTCTAGATTTTTGTTTTATCTTTCAAGAAATGAAAGATTATCAGTCAAAATCTACATAACATTATCATGTCAACTTACTTTAACAGGAGGCAATTTCAGGTTTTCTAACTGTAAAATTCCTGAGACCGTAAAATATATGATATTATAATATATACTGTACAGTATACAGGACTATAATATAGACTGTACAATACACATGACTATAATATAGACTGTACAGTATACAGGACTATAATATAGACTGTACAGTACACAGGACTATAATATAGACTGTACACAGGACTATAATATAGACTGTACAGTACACAGGACTATACTATAGACTGTACAGTACACAGGACTATAATATAGACTGCACAGTATACAGGACTATAATATAGACTGTACAATACACATGACTATAATATAGACTGTACACAGGACTATAATATAGACTGTACAGTATACAGGACTATAATATAGACTGTACAGTACACAGGACTATAATATAGACTGTACAGTACACAGGACTATAATATAGACTGTACACAGGGCTATAATATAGACTGTACAGTACACAGGACTAAAATATAGACTGTACTGTACACAGGACTATAATATAGACTTACAGTACACAGGACTATAATATAGACTGTATACAGGACTATAACATAGACTGTACACAGGACTATAATATAGACTGTACAGTACACAGGACTATAATATAGACTGTATAGTATACAGGACTATGATATAGACTGTACACAGGACTATAATATAGACTGTACACAGGACTATAATATAGACTGTACAGTACACAGGACTATAATATAGACTGTACTCAGGACTATAATATAGACTGTACACAGGACTATAATATAGACTGTACAGTACACAGGACTATAATATAGACTGTACAGTACACAGGACTATAATATAGACTGTACACAGGACTATAATATAGACTGTACACAGGACTATAATATAGACTGTACAGTACACAGGACTATAATATAGACTGTACACAGGACTATAATATAGACTGTACAGTATACAGGACTATAATATAGACTGTACACAGGACTATAATATAGACTGTACAGTATACAGGACTATGATATAGACTGTACAGTACACAAGACTATAATATAGACTGTACAGTACACAGGACTATAATATAGACTGTACAGTACACAGGACTATAATATAGACTGTACAGTATACAGGACTATAATATAGACTGTACACAGGACTATAATATAGACTGTACAGTATACAGGACTATGATATAGACTGTACAGTACACAAGACTATAATATAGACTGTACAGTACACAGGACTATAATATAGACTGTACACAGGACTATAATATAGACTGTGCAGTATACAGGACTATAATATAGACTGTACACAGGACTATAATATAGACTGTATAGTATACAGGACTATGATATAGACTGTACACAGGACTATAATATAGACTGTACAGTACACAGGACTATAATATAGACTGTACACAGGACTATAATATAGACTGTACAGCACACAGGACTATAATATAGACTGTACACAGGACTATAATATAGACTGTGCAGTATACAGGACTATGATATAGACTGTACAGTACACAAGACTATAATATAGACTGTACAGTACACAGGACTGTAATATAGACTGTACACAGGACTATAATATAGACTGTACAGTATACAGGACTATAATATAGACTGTACAGTACAAAGGACTATAATATAGACTGTACACAGGACTATAATATAGACTGTACACAGGACTATAATATAGACTGTACACAGGACTATAATATAAACTGTACTGTACACAGGACTATAATATAGACTGTACAGTACACAGGACTATAATATAGACTGTACTCAGGACTATGATATAGACTGTACACAGGACTTTAATATAGACTGTAGAGTACACAGGACTATAATATAGACTGTACACAGGACTATAATATAGACTGTACAGTATACAGGACTATAATATAGACTGTACAGTACACAGGACTATAATATAGACTGTACAGTACACATGACTATAATATAGACTGTACACAGGACTATAATATAGACTGTACACAGGACTATAATATAGACTGTATAGTATACAGGACTATGATATAGACTGTACACAGGACTATAATATAGACTGTACACAGGACTATAATATAGACTGTACAGTATACAGGACTATAATATAGACTGTACAGTACACAGGACTATAATATAGACTGTACACAGGACTATAATACAGACTGTACACAGGACTATAATATAGACTGTTCAGTACACAGGACTATACTATAGACTGTACAGTACACAGGACTATAATATAGATTGTACAGTATACAGGACTGTATTATAGACTGTACACAGGACTATAATATAGACTGTACAGTATACAGGACTATAATATAGACTGTACAGTATACAGGACTATAATATAGACTGTACACATGACTATGATATAGACTGTACACAGGACTATAATATAGACTGTACAGTACACAGGACTATAATATAGACTGTACTCAGGACTATAATATAGACTGTACAGTACACAGGACTATAATATAGACTGTACTCAGGACTATGATATAGACTGTACACAGGACTTTAATATAGACTGTACAGTACACAGGACTATAATATAGACTGTACTGTACACAGGACTATAATATAGACTGTACAGTACACAGGACTATAATATAGACTGTACAGTACACAGGACTATGATATAGACTGTACACAGGACTTTAATATAGACTGTAGAGTACACAGGACTATAATATAGACTGTACAGTACACAGGACTATAATATAGACTGTACACAGGACTATAATATAGACTGTACAGTATACAGGACTATAATATAGACTGTACAGTACATAGGACTATAATATAGACTGTACAATACACATGACTATAATATAGACTGTACAGTACACGGGACTATAATATAGACTGTACAGTACACATGACTATAATATAGACTGTACAGTACACAGGACTATAATATAGACTGTACACAGGACTATAATATAGACTGTACAGTACACAGGACTATAATATAGACTGTACACAGGACTATAATATAGACTGTACAGTATACAGGACTATAATATAGACTGTACAGTATACAGGACTATAATATAGACTTTACACAGGACTATAATATAGACTGTACAGTACACAGGACTATAATATAGACTGTACACAGGACTATAATATAGACTGTACAGTATACAGGACTATAATATAGACTGTACACAGGACTATAATATAGACTGTACAGTATACAGGACTATGATATAGACTGTACAGTACACAGGACTATAATATAGACTGTACACAGGACTATGATATAGACTGTACAGTACACAGGACTATAATATAGATTGTACAGTGTACAGGACTGTAATATAGACTGTACACAGGACTATAATATAGACTGTACAGTATACATGACTATAATATAGACTGTACACAGGACTATAATATAGACTGTACAGTATGCAGGACTATAATATAGACTGTACACAGGACTATAATATAGACTGTACAGTATACAGGACTATAATATAGATTGTACAGTACACAAGACTATAATATAGACTGTACAGTACACAGGACTAAAATATAGACTGTACACAGGACTATAATACAGACTGTACACAGGACTATAATATAGCCTGTACGGTATACAGGACTATAATATAGACTGTACAGTACACAGGACTATAATATAGACTGTACACAGGACTATAATATAGACTGTACACAGGACTATAATATAGACTGTACACAGGACTATAATATAGACTGTACAGTACACAGGACTATAATATAGACTGTACACAGGACTATAATATAGACTGTACAGTACACAGGACTATAATATAGACTGTACACAGGACTATATTATAGACTGTACAGTATATTGGACTGTGATATGCTGTGATGTTTTTTCTTACTGACAATGAAATACAGTCTGTAGCTTATTAAATAGACAAAATGATAAACAGAAATCATTATATTAGCAATTTAAAAGTATTTAACTCAACAGAAGAGTATATGTCCGATAAGTCATAACATCAGGGAGGATAATTCCTGTATACCAGATAGTATAAGGCCAGAAGATAATTTACTCCATATAGAATTATGTTACTACATACAGGATCATATAATGCGAAGATGATATATTGAATATGTTATAACATACTGAACGAATATAGGGTCATTATATTATAACATAAGTGAAGATGATATGTCAAATATATAATAACGGGAAAATGATACGGAAGTTATCCTACATACCATGACATTCTGGAATATATTATATCTTATATGGAATAACATACAAGATTATGTTCTACAACTTAGTAAAGTATAACATAGGGGATTATATTTTATATTGTATAACATACGGGACACTGATACGTCCAATATGATGTATATAGAGAGGTCTTTATGACAATATATCCATTATATAAGCAAGGGGGAATATTATCATACAATATGTAACAACATTAATGTAGAGATGTTAAATATGACTGATGACAGATATCAAGTATTTTTATAACACAATAACAAATTCCATGATATTACATTTCATACCTGAATAAATATAATCGATAGGGAAAGCTCTATGTTTAAATCAGGCATGTGACGTCATATGTCTCGTGAGATGATGCCTTTCGCGAAACGTCTCATGGCAAATGTTACATTTTAGTTTATCATCCCTTTTCTTTTTTACGGGATCAAACTCTCGTTTGTGGTGAGATCTCATATGGTATACCAGATCGCTTGTCATTCTAAACGAAGCGTTACATTTTGCACACCAATTCTGGAATACAGGCATGGCGTTTCCTGTTGGACTTGGCATTGCGGGACTGGGTACCATGCTCGCTGATGGCAACATGGCTGGTGTATTAGGATTGTGTAAGATGCGCTCCACCATAGGGTTCGTGCTTTTTATATATGGTATGTCAGTATTTATTTTGTCAGCAAATCCATATTGTTTCGATGGATCGACTCCAATCCCGTGTAAACTCCTCATCATTGATTCTTGTGTTCCATTGTACTGTTGAGGAAATGCAAACCTATATGCTTCCATCATTGATGCTCTTAACTGAGGATCAAGAACGTTTGCCGGAAGTGACGAAGATCCCATTAAAGGTGACGTAGGGAGCGATGACGTCGCTAAACTTGTCGGCATCACAAAGTCTTTTGAAGAAGATACTGTTCTGCTGTCTGTGCTATTATGCAAGTTTGCATTGCGTCTGATCTCACAGTTTGAAGCATTTATTAACGAAGAGGAGGATACCGTATTTTGTGGCGATAGAGATCTTTCTACTTTCCTGAACGCACTTGGATTGCTGGTATTACTCTCTTTTACATCTATACTTATGTTAGCATTATAGTCCTTCTCTGGTGATTTCTTGTTCCGGAGTGGCGGTGACTGGTTTTCACCATTCTCATAACTTTTCACTTTAATTTCAATATGATCATTGTTCTCCATGGCAGGCCTTTTACGACCGACAAGGATATCCTCGTTAGTCTGGTCAAATCCGAGACGACAGATATCGCTCGAAAGTCTATCACTGTTTGATACTCGGCATAACGATTTCGTATCACTCTTTATTTCCTGGTTTTGAATTCTTTCGTATATTGACCGATTGTCTTTTCTTTTGTTGTCGCATTTAAATCGCATATGTGCTCTCAAAGGGAATAGATACTGGAACTTTTCTCCGCAAAACTGGCATACATAGTTGACTTTCTCTGTGGAAGACAAATATTATTAAAGGTTAGAGAGAGTAAAAAGCTGTACAAGTCTACACAGCTTATAGTATAACATTGGAATATAATTCTTGTACTGAAGTAATATCTGTTCCTATTAAGTTACGTGGCCATCACCGTCGTTAAATACATCACTGTGTTATACTAATAACACAGAAAATTCCTGAATAATGGTAACATTGTTGACTACTAACTACCATTAAAGCTGTGACAGTTGATGTTTAATCCACAGGTGTGTAGGCGACACTAGGAAAACTTCCATGGCTAATGTCACCTAAATAGCTAACATTATCATTAACATTTATTCTTTAATTGGAGTTTGGATGGGATTAATGGTCGTTATCTCAATGTAAGGGTCATCAGATCGTTGACCACAAACCGTTATTCTAATGATTACCAATTTCGCCGACTGACAACTTATCCCCTAGTGTTACAATGTACTGGTGGGCCTATTGATGTTAATGTCGAGTGCCTCCTTGCCTACCTACCCTGAATGGTACTCCGCCTGACATCGGGGATGCCTATCAGCTGACAGAAGTCCTTACTGTACCAGACAAGAAGTTCTTCGCCGGCTTTGATTATTCGTAATGTCCGGTAGAATACCTGACCATTCTTCATGTAAGCCTCCACATTCTGTTCCTCCTCCTCGCGGGCGGGCTGAATGTACGCTAACCAGCCGTCAGCACGCGCCACGCCAACATTGGCGTCAGGATCCACCTATAAAAGCGACAAATTTGTACAGATAAAACGGCCATTAATCCCGTCGCGGTAATGATAGGTGTTTGTCTGGCACTGCGGCAAGGGTGGGATAATGTCACGGTCTTGTGTCGTAAAGTAGTAAGGGGTGGAACTGTCACACGGCGCCGATGTCGTAAAATGAAATACGACTTTATTCTCGTCATCTAATGACAGATGTATTCTATCAAACGTTTCTGTACAAACGACAAACGAAGGACTCGATTCTTTATTGTCAGGGCCATGTTGTGACATCAGCCGTGGATCTGAATGCTGTTAAATGTATATTTACGTAAACAGATGTGATTTTACATTTTTGAAGAAATGTTAATCTTGCACGTAATGATAAATCAAAATCGTAACTCAAACAGAAGATCATGCACCATCAACATTTACCATTGTTTTTGACTGAAATTTGAACAGAATGCATTTACTTTTGAAATACAATAAATGAAATATTAAGGATGATTTATTAATGAATGTGTAATAAAATTACCGAATCATTTAATTACACATCCTACTTGGTTGTGCTTTACCTCTGTGGCAGAACGTTACAATTGATATATTTTAATGAGCGATAATTAAGAATCTTAAATGTTACATAAATGATAACATTTTAATGGGCGATATTAATTAATCTTTAATATTACATAATTGACTATATTTTAATGGACTATGTATAAGTATAAGGTCACACTAACTAGATATCATTTGTCAATTAACCACTTTAGGATGTGAAACTAATGATGATTATGTACGTTAACACATTATATACATCTTATTTTACTTAAAACTGGTGAAAAGTCCATAAGGAATTTTACTTTTAAACAGATTCGTAGTGGAAAATTAGTATGTGCTGACTTCTAAAACGTCGTAAATGTTTCCCAAAAGTCCACGAAATGAATGTTTTATTTATTAATTATATTACATTTTTGTATTATTATTTAAATATTACGAAATGCACAGATGTCATATCTTACTGAATCACAGTTTTTACGTTATCTTACTTACCTATCTAAATAGTAAAGACAACATGTTTACATCTGTATGTAAATGTTGTATACATACCGCGTGAATAACAACGCCTTTCTCAACTCGTTATAATAACAACAAAAAACAGGTGACTTTTTAACCCCCACGTCTAACTGGTAATTTGAAATAGGAGAACATTAAAACCGACACTTTGCGATTTGATGATACACACACGTGGTGTTATTATCATAGGTTTTTCTAACGTATCAATATATTTCGACTCCACTAAACTGAAAATTTCGCATTAAATCAGCATACACGTGGTCAATGAATTTGATCAGTCTTCGAAAACAATTAGCAGTATACTGGAATATCGCCACATCGATTTGATAAATGATTTTATCTGTATTTTACATCAAACATCCAAAAGTAAAAGGATAATTTCTTTGTTAACAATCACATAAAAGTATCAAATATCTGGGAATATAGAAACGTCGGCTATTGTCTAGACAACCTGATCAATTTTCTGTCACGGCCAGGCGGCGAGGACGAGACGGGGTTGTCTAGCTACATATCAATAACACCAGAGGTATCGGCTTCACACCCTTACATTTTAATAATTTTCAGATTTCCAGCACTGTGTCTGGGATTATTGCTATTGTTCTTTGTATTTTGATAAACGGTTGATGATCTTACACGGGTCAGATGAGAGTCAAACAGTTTATCTTTAATCTTAATGAGTTTATCATTCAACAAATACTGTAATGAAAATAATATTATACCTAGACAAAAGAATATATGGATGGAACCGCACGTCAGAAAGAATATAGAAATATTATTACCGATGATGATTACCGGTACAGCTTGACTTTGGCATAGCTCCGTGAGCATGGTAGTCAACAGGATAATATTTAAAACTAACCTTTTTTCTTCAACTTCACATTGGAAGAAATTTTTAGTTACTGACTTTTTTTGTGTGCATGATGGGGATGCAGACAACACACAAGACTCCCACTAAACATTAACACACATATACCCAACCCCTTTTATAGTTTACCAACACATCTCTCCGTTCCACCTGCTACGCTTTGTTATAGATATGACGCCTACCAGGTTTACTCCTTAGGTTAAAGGTTTGTATTATACGTCAGATTTGCACATTAAGTAATATTATGTGATTACCTCAATAGCGGGTGAATCGTGTCGCGTGTCCTGTGTCAGCATGCCAATCACATAGGTTGGATCCATCAGCGCCACCTGTACCGGAAATGGTCCAAATATCCGCCCATAGTCGATATCGCAAATGGTTATAACTCCCATCATCAAAATGTCTGTAACAGTAAAAGTATGCCTTCAATCGTGACGTCATTTACTCCAAACTGCTTTCTTTTCTCTAGAGACTGCCTCGATACGTTTAAGGTCTGAATTCAACACAAGATATGTATATGTCAGATGAAAGCAAAGTTTTGTGATCTACATCACAAACTGGCATTACGTGATATCAAATTTTGAAATCACACTGTTGTACATACCTAGTAATGCTAAAACAATAAGACAAGAATTGGCATGATATAATTAGCAAGCTGATAAACATGGTATATAGAGGAAAGAGGACGTTCACTGCAGCATCGTGTACCGTAGCTAGATTTAGACGCCCAATCGGCAATAACGACAGGTCTCATAAGACTATCCTGACGCGCGCAATCCTATCACAGTCAAGCGCTGCTGTGCGCTCAGGGACATATGTTTTCTCATCAAGAACTTGAGACATTTTCTAAAACCATCAATATATTTCCATCATCTCTTCCCCTAACTGATCTCCGTATATGTGACCCATGCGATAGGCAGGCAATCAATTTTCGGCAATGTTCTCGCCTGTATGATTACTGATATCCCGTAGAATTGGCAACGGAACGGAAAATGGTTCGTGTGGATTTTTAATGGTGATTGGATATTAGAAAACCAACGCAGATTGAAATTTCGTCGTTGGTGACATTATTAACATTAATCCGAGGGAAGCATGTGAGTCTTCTGCCATCAAAGATGCTGTAGTGTTATAAACGTCAACGGACCGTACCCTAAATTGAATGAAACCCCATCAGAGGAAGCAACTTAATTATTGTGTTTCAATACAAGCTTATTTAAACAGTCGAGGCTCCTTAAAGGATTGGGTTATTCAACGATTTAAGATAAGGCGGGTTGCTTATTTTAACCTCCAACGGTGAACGGTATCTTTATATGATTAATAAAGTATCATATCGGGTTATCAAAAACAAGTTGGTGATTTTTTAAAAGGCTGTAACTGCTATACAATAATTCTAACCGTGGTAGTCGCTGCTTTGTTATCACTGAAGAATTTCCCTTCAGACACCCTGTTTACACATGCCTTCCAGGAAAGACAATTCACTTTCTATAGGGTTTTAATGGGTGTCCGTCAATTGCCGCGTAAACAATGTTTGGTATAGTAACATCACATATCGAACGCACCCTTGGGTCTAATGAAACTCGCCAGAATCAAAGTCAAACAACCATATGCACCAGCGATAACACGAAGCGATCAGGTGCAGGGTATGGAGAGCTAATTTTGTTTTATTCATCGGAGAGTTGTTAAGCATTTGATAAATGCCCAAACTTGATCGCTTGTTTTTGTTATTATTAGTAATATAATTTTCGTCCTGACAATATCTGTGAGGCAAATCTCTCTCACGAAAAGTCAACCATATGCCCTCACCGTGACTCCCTGATTCTGATTAAGAACGACATTGTCAAACATATGAGAAACAAATAAGGGTTTATTTGTCGGCATGGGACATGTTATTGAAAGGCATTGACGATACACATCGGCTTATTGTTCTAATTTCGTAAGAGATAAAATTAGGAGGCGTCTTGGTAGGGTCCACAGGGAGGTAAGATTGTGGTGGATATAAGTCAGTCTCAGGAATATATCGATAAAAGAAAAAGTGCACGTTATGATGTTAGAAAACATATGGGGATATAAACGTCCAACGTCTGGAGGAAACAGCGTATAAGTTACGAGGTGTTGAGTTCAGTCGATCAAGCAGCGTACGGCAAGGTCAGTTAGTGAAAACACGGTATTTTTGTAGTCAAAACTTCAAGTTTGTATAGATTTTAAAATAAAAATCAGTTATTAAGAGAGCTTTGTTGAATTAATGAAACGTATAAAACTAAGATCGATGGCTGAAAAGGATACTCTGGGATTACGTAACTGACAACATCTTTACAAACTACAGGCAAATATCAGATCCAGAAAATCTAACTACAGGCAAATATCAAATCCAGAAAATCTAACTACAGGCAAATATCAAATCCAGAAAAACACTTACTACTGTCAAATATCAAAACCATAAAATCTAACTACAGGCAAATATAAAAACCATAAAATCTAACTGCTGTCAAATATCAAAACCAGAAAATCTAACTGCTGTCAAATATCAAAACCAGAAAATCTAACTACAGTCAAATATCAAAACCAGAAAAATTAACTTCAGTCAAATACCAAAAGCAGAAAAAATATTTACAGTCAAATATCAAAACCAGAAAAATTAACTTCAGTCAAATACCAAAAGCAGAAAAAATATTTACAGTCAAATATCAAAACCAGAAAAATTAACTTCAGTCAAATACCAAAAGCAGAAAAAATATTTACAGTCAAATATCAAAACCAGAAAACACTAACTCAGGTCAAATATCAAAACCAGAAAAATTAACTACAGTCAAATATCAAAACCAGAAAACACTAACTCAGGTCAAATATCAAAACCAGAAAAATTAACTACAGTCAAATATCAAAACCAGAAAACACTAACTCAGGTCAAATATCAAAACCAGAAAAATTAACTACAGTCAAATATCAAAACCAGAAAACACTAACTCGGGTCAAATATCAAAACCAGAAAAATTAACTTCAGTCAAATACCAAAAGCAGAAAAAATATTTACAGTCAAATATCAAAACCATAAAATCTAACTACAGTCAAATATCAAAACCATAAAATCTAACTACAGTCAAATATCAAAACCAGAAAAACTAACTACAGTCAAATATCAAAACCATAAAATCTAACTGCTGTCAAATATCTAAACCAGAAAATCTAACTACAGTCAAATATCAAAACCAGAAAATCTAACTACAGTCAAATATCAAAACCAGAAAAATTAACTACAGTCAAATATCAAAACCAGAAAACACTAACTCAGGTCAAATATCAAAACCAGAAAACACTAACTTCAGTCAAATATCAAAACCAGAAAATCTAACTTCAGTCAAATATCAAAACCAGAAAACACTAACTCAGGTCAAATATCAAAACCAGAAAAACTGACTTCAGTCAAATATCAAAACCAGAAAAGCTGACTTCAGTCAACAATAACGATGACAACTGCTGCGTTATTAATTGAATTCCCGATTTTCTTGTTTTAAATGTACAAATGATATGATGTAAAACCATGCATAAAACTGAAGTTATCTACCCACTGAAAACTGAAATGTAGGTCAATAATTTACAGTGTCCTACGTATCCATATCAACGTCATTACATTTAATGATGAAATAGCTTTAATTACAAACTAGTGTCATGACTATCCAAAACGCCCGTGTAATTATGTCATTAAGACGAACATCACAGACAGTGCAAATTATTTTTATATTAAAGTGCCCTAGTATATTTAACAAAACCCGGTTTATAGTAATTAATTACTTCAATCCGACTATGAAACCTTAATAGAAGTGATCCCATGTCACGTATTTATCGCGGTATTTAATATAAAAATTAATGAATGTCAAAGAGGATATTGCATGTACACAAACTGGTATAGATTTCGGGACTGAAGCCTTTTGTTGAACGCTCTATGGCTATGTGTTATGAAAACATGAACAGACGTTGGTGATGACACCAATATGGTCCTATCTAGTGAGAGGTTTCTGACAACGCAGGCTGACCACCACAACACACAACAATCATCCTACAGGGAAACAAAGCGCAGACTTTCAATTAGAATCCACAAGATTAAATAGACTCTTTTGGGACTTTATCTTGAAATTAGATTCCCTCATCTTGGAATCAGGACAAATAGTACAGGACACAATGTCAAAGTTTGTGACAAATATTCGTCGGCAACCTATATATTATTGTCAGACATATGTGTAAATCAATTTCGTCGTGATATCTGACTATACATCTTGTTTATATACCTGTTTGTGTGGTATTACAATACTCCAGATCACATCGAATGCTATAAGGATGAAAGAGCTGTATGATGCAGTTTCATTAATTATTTTGCTTTAATTAATTTAATTATAAATTTGAAATTACAAGATGATGCTTACTTGGATGTCTTTTGTACAGTTAGTATAGACAAGGTGTTAAAGGTATTCATTAACTCGTGCATCAATGTCACTTAACTGACATGGTGGTGAAGCATTATCTTATCGTTTATATCCACTCTATGATTTTGGACATCTCCTATTCGATGTTATCATTTTGCTCGATGAGAGGAGATCTCCAAAATCATAGAGTCGAAATAAAATATAGTCAAGATAATGCGCTTTAGTGTTCGCTACGAAATCAACGAAGTTCAACATGTACACGTTCGTTACAATTCATTACGAAATCACATGTTAAAGATGAAACGAATATTAACAAACGGGATAACTTGTTAAACAGTTCTTCGCTAACAAGATCCTGTCACTCACGGCAACACAGTTAAGGCATAGTATTACCCATGTATTATGTATCATTATGTATCATTATGTTGTATATCCTGACAATAACTATTTACTATTCAATGTTACGTTCGTTTTTATAGGAAAATCCCAACATATATTTCTCGAAATATTTAGAACAAAACAGGTTGTACATCTAGGCTGTACAATTTTATTAAGTTTTATTTCATCACTACCAGCATCCCTCCTTTTTATATTCAACTGCTTGTGTACAATATCGACACAACAAATGTATTCGATAAAGACTAAAGTCAACATTAAATCTCTCATTGTTTTCCCTTTTTAATACTTAGTGCTAAGTACCTGGCAACAGATTAAAAAAATTGATAATGATCTTTCAGTATCTATGAGAGTTAATTTTTTAAGCACAACTCTTTTCAGACTAAATCAATCTGATGAACGGATTATTGTTTCGTTTATCTATAAAACCTAATTATGTAGAAACATAAAGTTTACACAATCCTCTATCCTAAAGTTGAAGATCAGTGAAATTTAGTCCGATGATATCTTTACTTTGTCCTATGAATTATCCGCAAACATGTAAAGGAAATTCCACTTCTTGTGACACGATTCATTAG